AGCCCCTGCATGCAACACACCTCCAGTCCCTGCAAACAACACAACTCCAGTTCCTGCATGCAACACAAATCCAGACCCTGCATGCAACACTGATCCAGTCCCTGCATGCAACACAACTCCAGTCCCGGCATGCAACACTGATCCAGTCCCTGCATGCAACACAACTCCAGTCCCGGCATGCAACACAACTCCAGTCTCTGCATGTAACACAAATCCAGTCCCTGCATGCAACACAATTCCAGTCCCTGCAAACACCACAACTCCAGTCCCTTCATGCAACACAACTCCAGTCTCTGCAAACACCACAACTCCAGTCCCTGCATGTAACACAAATCCAGTCCCTGCATGTAACACAAATCCAGCCCCTGCATACAACACAACTCCAGTACCTTCATGCAACACAACTCCAGTCCCTGCATGTAACACAAATCTAGTCCCTTCATGCAACACAACTCCAGGTTGTGCAAACACCACAACTCCAGTCCCTGCATGTAACACAAATCCAGCCCCTGCATGCAACACAACTCCAGTCCCTGCAAACAACACAACTCCAGTTCCTGCATGCAACACAAATCCAGACCCTGCATGCAACACTGATCCAGTCCCTGCAAACAACACAACTCTAGTTCCTGCATGCAATACAACTCCAGACCCTGCATGCAACACAACTCCAGACCCTGCATGTAACACAAATCCAGTTCCTGCATGCAGCACAGACCCAGTCCCTGCATGCAAAACAACGCTAGTGCCTGCATGCAACACAACTCCAGACCCTGCAAACAACACAACTCCAGTCCCTGCATGCAACACAAATCCAGTTCCTGCATGCAACACAACTCCAGTCCCTGCATGCAACACAAATCCAGTTCCTGCATGCAACAGAGCTCCAGTCGCTGCATGCAACACAGATCCAGTCCCTGCATGCAACACAACTCCAGTCCCTGCAAACAACACAACTCCAGTCCCTGCATGCAACACAACTCCAGTCCCTGCAAACAACACAACTCCAGTCCCTGCATGCAACACAAATCCAGTTCCTGCATGCAACACAACTCTAGTCCCTGCATACAACACAACTCCAACATCTTCATGAAACACAGCTCTAGTCCCTGCATGAAACACAACTCCAGCCCCTTCATGAAACACAACTCCAGCCCCTTCATGAAACACAACTCTAGTGCCTGCATGAAACACAACTCTAATCCCTGCATACAACACAACTTCAGTCCCTTCATGAAACACAACGCTAGTCCCTTCATGAAACACAACTCTAGTCCCTGCATGAAACACAACTCTAGTCTCTGCATACAACACAACTCCAGCCCCTTCATGAAACACAACTCTAGTGCCTGTATGAAATACTACTATAGTCCCTTCATGCAACACAACTCCAGTTCCTGCATGCAACACAACTCCAGACCCTGCATGCAACACAACTCCAGCCCCTGCATACAACACAACTCCAGACCCTGCATGCAACACAAATCCAGTCCCTGCATGCAACACAACTCCAGACCCTGCATGCAACACAAATCCAGTCCCTGCATGCAACACAAATTCAGACCCTGCATGCAACACGAATCCAGTCCCTGCATGCAACACAACTCCAGACCCTGCATGCAACACAACTCCAGCCCCTGCATACAACACAACTCCAGACCCTGCATGCAACACAAATCCAGTCCCTGCATGCAACACAACTCCAGACCCTGCATGCAACACAAATCCAGTCCCTGCATGCAACACAACTCCAGACCCTGCATGCAACACAAATCCAGTCCCTGCATGCAACACAATTTTAGTCCCTGTATACAACACAATTCCAGTCCCTGCAAACAACACAACTTCAGTCCCTGCATGCAACACAAATCCAGTTCCTGCATGCAACACAACTCTAGTCCCTGCATGAAACACAACTCCAGTCCCTGCAAACAACACAACTCCAGCCCCTGCATGCAACACAACTCCAGTCCCTCCATGCAGAGGTGCCTCCATAGGATGCTCTAAGAGAAAAGCCAACCTAAATTAAGAAACCTGGGTTAGCAGTCACTGCACCATCTATGGGCCAATTCACAGTACATGCATTTCAGTGTGCTTTTTTCTGCATCTAAAATGCACAGAAAGTAGGTTATATGGTTGTCAATGTCATAGTTCACATCAGTGCTTGCAGTTCCAGTGCGTTCCGGTTGAAGAATAAAAAGTAGAACATGCTGCATTTTTACTGCACTGTACTGGAAAGTGGTAAAACGCATAAAAAAATGCACCAGAATGCACTGGTATGCACCAAGAACACACTGGAATGCACATGTTCCTATTTAAATAAAACAAAAAGAGGGGAAAAAATGAACCAGAAAGCTCAAAAACACACAGGACTGCATCAAAAACACACCAGAACTCGTCCAAAACACATTTCTGCACATGCAGAAATTTATCTGGAACGCATCTGGACTGGTGTGAACCAGCCAATAAACTGGAACATAGGCAAAAAGCTGCATACTCAGTAATTAAATCAGCTGCTGACAGTGGGAACTTTTCCTAAAAACAGAGAGCAATAAAAATAAGACAGCAGTGCTAACTCAAACCAAAACTATCCAAACCAAACCAAACTAAAACTAGGAAACAAACGTTTGTTTGGAGTTGTACTTGAATTTGAAGGCTGAGCAATCTGTTTTTTTTCTGTAGGAATCCAGAAAAATGAACCACCTTTTATGTACTATTAGGCCTCCTTCAAAGAGACGATTACCTGCAAACATTGGATGCTAGCATCAAGAATCAGTGTATTCTTGCGGCTCTAATGACAGGTGCCTGCGAATTGCAGCAGCCGCTCAGCCTGTACAAAGCAATGACAGGCTGACTCCATCACTTGAAAAATTGGATTTTTTGTTTGTACCGTGAAATCCTTTTCTTGGAGCTCATTTCAGGGTTCAGAGATTATTGGGCTACATTGCTGCCTACAGGAGGATTTGGACACTGGCAAGTAAAAAAAAATAAAATAACAGGGACTAGCCTCTCCCACTCCCATTATGCCTCAATTTTGTAGCAATGCAGTGTCAAGAGTAATATCATTGACACAGAGGGATGGAACCTGTGTCCCCCAGTGAACTACATTGAGAGACCATTAGGAAGAAAAAAAAGTCAGCCTTCTAATGAAAGAAGTGGCTGCAAGCTAAACATGCACAGCATGAACTACATCCAGACAATGAAAGGAAATCTGCTTCCCATGCAGTGGAACTGCACAGAGGGTTGGAAGCACAATGTCCTGGGAAGGAAAGAGGCTCTAGGCCTCAACACCACCTTCTCCTTATGTAAGACCAAAAAGAATTCCCTACAGGACAAAGCAGGCATCATCACCAACACATGCCTCACAGAGTAAGAGCTCAGAGAATCAAATTGAATTTCCACAGAGGGTCAGGTGAGTGCACACTGTACGAAGGTCTTATTTAAGACCTTTAAGAAGTTAATGATCTCTGGAACAAGATCACAAGTGTCAGAATTGTCCCCTTGATGGTACATGCTTATTTAGACCTAAATAGAAAAACGGTCAATATCTGACCCAAAAAGTATTTTTTAGGATTAAAGTTTCCTTTTTTGTTCCAAGCAAAGTATAAAATGGATTTTCTATTACTTTTTGTCTCAGTGATAATGGTCACCAAGACATGTAAAAGGGGTGAATGTCTCCAATGGAGACACCAACAACAATATGAACCTAATATGGGTTTATTTATTACAGTGATTTATATAGCACACAACAGTTTATATACTATGCACTCACATTGGTCCCTGGCCTCATCAGTTTACAATCCAAAGTCCCAATCTGACATACACACTGCTAGAGCCATATTAGATATGTGTCAGTTAGTCTACCAGCATGATTTTGGAGTGTGGGCAGATACCCCATGCAAGTACAAGGAAACATGCAAACTCTATGAACATAGTGTCCTGGCTGGGATTCAAACCACTGATCCCTGTGCTAGAAGCACTAACCATTAATCCACAGTGCTGAACCTAACCCTTCCTCCTTCTATCCAAAATGAAAAACATTTTGGCTACACAAGCACTTCTGTCTGATGTGAATACGTATTATTCCAGAGTCATGCATTGTGTGGGTGTGTTGTCATATGTAAATGAGGCAAACTGATCTATGTACTTCTCGTATGTTGGAAACGTTTTCAGGGATTGTACATTTTAAGAATGTGGGTCATTCAGGGTTAGGGAGGAGAACTGGATAAAAATATGTAAATATCAATAATACTAGATATAAATATTATTATTATAATCAAGGCAAAGGTAATGTACACATTACATACCCATCAGACAGTTTTAAACTCTTGATAACTGAAGTACGGTTTATTGTTGCAAGTTGCTAAATGGAATTCCTTGCTGTATTATCATAATAAAGTGTATGGAATACCAATTTTTTTTGCTGTTTTGGGTAGATAGTAGAAGGGCTAGAACCTCTGTCAGATTTTTATTGTGGTCTTTGTCCCCACTGGGGGGATTTGCTTACTCCTAGGTCCTGGTTCTCTGATACAGAATTTGATAGGAAAATTCAACATTTTTGACTTGCCATGATACCCGTTTTCCAAGGGGTAAGCCTATTCTGGTGAAAGGCCCTCAATGAGGATATCCCTTCTCTTTTGAGAAAGAGAGAAAGTCTGGGCTTTTTTATACACCTTAATGTTTATATAGCTTGTTTGACAGAAGCTAATCTACTTGGTAAAGAAATTTAATTTGTTCTGAAAATGTTTTATTTCAAATAAAAGCCCATTATCCAAGATTTAAAATGATGAGTTGTCAATGTCCTATCTGCTAAGTATAAAGTAAAATTGTTGCCTTGCCAATGACATTTCCTACAGCTAGTTCTTCTAGAATTTGAATGATTTCTCAGCAATACAAATGTATCGCATATGAGAAGTTAACTCTGGAAGGTCCAAGCAAAGCTCCATATGTTTTACTTTGTATTCTTGTCTTCAACAGACTCAGCAAGGCTACGAAAGAGGGAGCTCCTGGGCCAGGAGATGAAGAAGGAGCCTTACCATCTGACACAGCTGTCCAATGAAAGGTCAGAGGATGGCCTGGGACACTCACACAGAAACCTGGCCCTGGATTCTTACCATCGCCATATGGCTCTGCAGCCGGTAAAATAACCACCAATTCTATGTGACATCAGTCACATATCAGTATAGTAACACAGTAGCACAGCTCCCAATTGTTCCTGTTTTGAATTTAAATCTATATGTTTCTGTAGTCCCCATAGAAACATAGAAAAGTGGGACAGAGAATGACCAAGTGGTCCATTGAGTCTGCCCATTTTTTTTATACGTTTTTGTAAATGTTTTATGTTTTGTTTTATATTCATTGATGTGTTTGTTTGTTAACTTTTTGTGTCTGAATATTGATCCATGTTTATCCTAAGCATGTTTGAAGCCACTTACTGTTGACTGACTCACTACCTGTGCTGGAAGTCTATTCCAAGCATCAACTACCATTTCAGTAAAAAATACTTTCTAAGATTAGTTTTGAACTTTCCTCCTGTCAGTTTGAGGTCATGTCCCCATGTTCTTGATCTTGGTTTCATATTGAAAATACTGCCCTCTTGAATCTTATCCACCCCCTTAGTATATTTAAAGGTTTCAATCATGTCTCCCCTTTTCCTTCTTTCCTGCAGACTGTACATATTAAGTTCCTGAGTTCCTAAGCTCTACTGTCACTTTCTAGGTTTCATGTATAAAACAATGTGATATAAAATAGGAATGTATTGTCATTTCAATGAATCTTTAGAAACTAATTAAAGAGATCAGATTGAATGGAATAATCTTATCAAAAGGGGTTGAAGTTCAAGAAACAATGTTTGTATGTCTTTTAGTAATAGATGTAAACCAGGCAGCCATATTTGTGTAGCACTGCCCCTTGGGACAAGCTGGAATATATTATGGGTCCTGCGCTCAATAGATCCAACCCTAAGGCAGGGGGATTGGTGGCTTGCACAGGGCCCCGGATGGGTGAGATCCCAGCAGTGGGGTGCGGATGTCCCAGTCTATATGCAAAGTGTAAATGGTGTGTCTTACTCTCTCCAGTGGGACAGCTCACCAGACTCTGAACACACAGCAGGGTCCCTCTATCCGCGCTGAGTGCTGTAGTGCCTCCTCCTCTGCTTGGACGGGCTCCACGTGTCCCTGTCTTTTCTCCAGCCTTGTGTCTCTCTGTTCTTCCCTTCACTTCCTGCTTTCTCCCCTCCCCAGCATTCTTTTCTGTGTAGTGGATGAGTCATGAACTTGGCAGAATGCCCAGGTTTTACAAATAGGGAGAGAGAGAGGAAGGACCGACTGCTGAACGTGTGATTCCTTCTGAATCCTCTTGTACAAGGAGTCTGCTACATTTGTCTAATTCATATGCAGACTCTGCTTTTGGCTTTTGCACAATCTCACTGTTCAAGTCTAGGGGAACTATTTATAAAATGTTTGCTGTGTGAATGTCATTTGCACAGCTGTCACAAATATTACCCATAATGTGTCTAATATGTTTATTTCCTACGATCTTTGGTTCCATCTGGTAGCCATAATATGGTATTTTCCTGAATGCAGTATGAATAATGAATACTGCATTATGGGCACTAGATGGAGCTGACCAACAGAAAAAATAAACATATTTGACATATTACGCAAATTATTTGCAATGGCAGTGCGAATTCTAAGACATTCACACTGTTATTTTTTTTATAAACAGACTGTTATGTGTCATCTGACTAATTGAAGCCAATATGCCAATTTTTTGGCTGAAATATTATTTTAACAGTTATTAAGGGATAAGTAGACTAATCATTTGCCCCCCCCCCAGCCCCCTCCTGCTGAGTGAATCCCCCCCCCCCCCCCCCCCCATCATCAAGATGCATACTTACCTGACAGTCATGTCTCTGGTCTCAAGTATTTGTTTAAATCCTGGCTGCACCAGTGCAGTAAATTTGCATAGATTTTTGTGGGCTCATATTCCAGACATATCTAGGCTTGGGACACATGGCCTCAGTCTATGGAAAGCTATAGCACATGTGATGCCAGCAAATGGAAAATTTAGTAAACAGATTAGTGTATTTAACCTTTAGTGCCCATTCACACTGCCGTAGTGTTTAGAAGATGTCTGTTCTAACTGCAGTAAACCAGTTGTAGGGGGTGGAGCAGGGGCGGACAACTCATGGGGCCCCCGGGCAATAGAGGATCATGGGGCCCCTGTGTCATCGTCCACACCCAAAAAAAGCCTATGAAAAAGCCAATTAAAGGTGCAGGGGCATCTCACGGAGCCCCCTACTGATCCCGGGCCCTCGGGCATTGCCCGAGTCCTCGAATGGTCAGTCCGCCCCTGGGGTGGAGTGATGTGTGTTTCAGTGCATCACACTGTTCCCTTTTTTCTTTTTTTTTTTGTGTCACAAAGTGACACGTCATTTATTCATGTGATCCTGTCCTGTACGCTGTGATAAAATGTAGAATGTCTGTATTTTAATCGCAGCTCATTGCATCATACCTCCAAACTGCATTGCAATGTGAATAACAATTGTTTTATGTTTGTCCTAGCAGTGACCTGCGTTCTTTCAGTGCAGCAAAACGCAGGTCACCAAACTATGTGGGTACAAGGTCTTAAGCAGTGAGACAGCATGATTGCAGTGGCTAATCTCTCCTGCCTTTAATTGCTAATCTAGAAATTTCTACATTCACTTCAACGATATGGCAAAAGAGCATGTAAAAATGTAAAATCTGCACATGACTTTAAGGTTTAAACTATAACTTAGAATAACTCCTAATTGTAAATGTCTTATTTTGTCATTTACGTGATGTGTTTTTGAAGCAGGTGTTTGCATAAAACCTGAGTTTGTATGTATTTAGAAGTATCCATATGAAATGTAAAAATCTCTGCACTTCTTTATAGATACACTATATTGGCAAAAGTATTGGGACGCCTGCCTTTACACGCACATGAAATTTAATGGCATCCCATTCTTAGTCTGCAGGGCACAATATTGAGTTTTGGTCCACCCTTTGCAGCTATAACAGCTTCAACTCTTCTGGGAAGGCTGTCCACAAGGTTTAGGAGTGTATCTATGGGAATGTTTGACCATTCTTCCAGAAGAGCATTTGTGAGGTCAGGCACTGATGTAGGATGAGGAGGCCTGGCTCACAGTCTCCGCTCTAATTCATCCCAAAGGTATTCTGTCGGATTGTGGTCAGGACTTTGTGTAAACCAGTAAACTCACTCATCCACATCTTTATGGACCTTGATTTGTGCACTGGTGCTCAGTCATGTTGGAACAGGAAGGGGCCATCCCCAAACTGTACCCACAAAAATTGGGAGCATCAAATTGTCCAAAATGTCTTGGTATGTTGACGCCTTAAGAGTTCCCTTCACTGAAACTCAGGGGCCAAGTCCAACCCCTGAAAAACAATCCCACACACCACCAAACTTTACACTTGGCACAATGCAGTCAGGCAAGTACCGTTCTCCTGGCAACTGCCAAACCTAGACATGGCCAGCGGATTGCCAGACAGAGAAGCATGATTTGTCACTCCAGAGAACACATCTCCACTGCTCTAGAGTCCAGTGGCGGCGTGCTTTACACCACTGCAGCTGATGCTTTGCATTGCACTTGGTGATGTAAGGCTTGGATGCAGCTGCTCGGCTATGGAAACCCATCTCATGAAGCTCTCTACTCACTGTTGTTGTGCTAATCTGAAGGCCACATGAAGTTTGAAGGTCTTTAGCTATTGACTCTGCAGACAGTTGGCGACTTGTGCATACTGTGTGCTTCAGTATGAGCTGACCCTGCTCTGTTATTTTACGTGGCCTACCACTTTGTGGCTGAGTAGCTGTTGTTCCAAGTTTCTTCCACTTTGTTATAATACCACTAACAGTTGACCGTGGAATACTTAGTAGAAAGGAAATTTCATGGATGGACTTATTGCACAGTTGGCAACCTATCACGGTTCCACGCTTGAGTTCACTGAACTCCTGAGAGTGACCCATTATTTTACAAAAGTTTGTAGAAGCAGTCTCCATGCCTAGGTGCTTGATTTTATACACTTGTGGCCATGGAGGTTATTGGAACACCTGAATCCAATGATTTGGAAGGGTGTCCCAATACTTTTGGCAATATAGTGTACATAACAAAGAACAGCAGCCTGCTAGGAAACGGTTTATACCCAATACATTTTATAAATATTTACAAAGAATTAGCGGTGCCTAGATAAAATAAATCATGTCTAAAAACTTTGCACAGGTCATTAATCAAAAGGAATAAGACAGGAATATAACAATATACTCCCAAAGTCCAAAAACCAAAGATGAGATCACAAGATAACTTCTTCCTCCAGGCTGACTTTTAAACCTCCACCCTTTATTGCAATATTAGTAATCCTCAGTGAATCCACCCACAGACAGAGACCATATTGTATGAACCAACAAAGAGAGAGGGTCACATATCATATGCTGGTATGTAGCATCAAGATCCAGCATCAACCAGCCAAGCCAGAGATCTCTTTCACTGCTATTTAGCTTTTCACATAGGCATAGGCAGGTTCACATAGGCACATCGCCAGGTAGCTACCTATATACAGTATATTTACCATAGGGCAAAATAGAGGAAAGCACTTGGTCTGTTCTGTGCAGATAAATTAAATTTACTCATCAAAGCACATATAAAATGATATCAGATGAACAGCATGCATAGCCTGTATCCGCTTGTGATGTCACTCCTCCAAACTCCACCTTACGTGTTTCAATTAATAGGCCATTATTAAGAGCTGGTTAGTGTGACGTTTCTCTTCAGTTTCAAAATGTATTTTTGCTTTTGCAGCCAGTGTATAGTTGTAACATACTTATTCAGATAGCATGACTGTATGAATGGTGCGTGAATTGGAACACAGCAAACATATAGTGGGATTTTCTCAATTTGATTGCAAAAGTGGAAATACCTTTTAAAGTGCATTTGTTATGCCCATAATTTGGTATACAATACAATTACTATCCAGGCCATTAATAGGAACACATTATTACCGGGAACAATATGAAACACAAGCT